GCGCTCGGCGCGCCGGCCTGGCGGGCTCCCCGCGTGCGCGGTGCCCAAGATGGCGGCCTCCACCTCGGGCTCGGCCGCCGCCTCCCCGCCGCCCAAAGTCACCAAAGCGGCGGCGGCGCCGCGGCCCCGCGACCGCGACCGCGGCGGGGACGGCGACCCCGAGCCCCCGGCCGCGCCCGAGCCGGGTGAGCGCCCCTTTCCCCCCCCGCCGGCCCCGCCCCGCCGCGCCCGGGCCCACCCGCGCCGCCCCCCCCCCTCCCCCTCACACAGCCCCCGGTGCGGCGGGGCCGGGCCGGCGCCGGGAGGGCCCGGCGGGGGCGGCGGGAGCGCCGGGGGGGCCCGCGGGGGCTGCGGCCGACGAGACGCCGCCCCTCCTTTGTCCGGGACCCGGCCCCGCTTTGTCCCCGGCGGGACCCCCGGGGGGCGGCCCCCGGGACGGGCCCGGGCCCGGGGCCCGCGGGGAGCGCCCGGTCCGTCCAGCTCGGGCCCCGCGGGGCTGCGGGGGGTGCAGGGCCTCTCTTCTCGCCCCCCCGGGGGTGCCCGGTCCCTTCTCCCGCCCCCCCGGGGGATGCGGGGGGTGCCCGGTCCGTCTGTCCCGGACCATGCGGGGGATGCCCCGACCCTCCATCCCGGGCCCTCCGTCCCGGATCCTCCATCCCGGATCCTCCATCCCAGATCCTCCATCCAGGCCCCCCCGGGAATGCGGGAAATGCCTGGACCCTCCATCCCGGTCCCTCCATCCCGGCCCTGGTCCCCGCGGGAATGCGGGAAATGCCCGATTCCTCCATCCCAATCCCTCCATCCCTTCTCTCCATCCCGGTCCCCCCGGGGAACGCGGGAGGTGCCCGATCCCTCCATCCCGGACCCTCCATCCTTGTCCCTCCATCCCGGTCCCCCCCGGGGGGTGCCTGGTCCTTCCATCCCGGTCACTCCGAGAGATTCCCTGTCCCTCCATCCCGGTCCCCCGGGAGTTCCCACCCCTCCTCCCACCCCCCGGGGTTGGGAAGTGGCGCCCGAGGAGCCCCGGGGTGTCCCCAGCCTTGTCCTCGGCCACCCCCTGCTGGGACCTGCCACTGTCCCTGTCCTGTCCCCTACAAGGACCTGCCACTGTCCCTGTCCTGTCCCCTGCAAGGACCTGCCACCCTTCCCTGTCCCCTCCCAGCAGGGACCCGTCCCTTGGCCTGCAAGGACCTGCCACCTTTCCCATCCTCCCACAGGGACCTGCCACCATCCCTGTGCCCTCCCTGAGGGACCTGCCATCTCTCCTGTCCTCACCCCTGCTGGGATCTGCCACCTCTCCTGTCCTCACCCCTGCTGGGACCTGCCACCATCCCTGTGCCCTCCCTGAGGGACCTGCCACCTCTCCTGTCCTCACCCCTGCTGGGATCTGCCACCATCCCCGTGCCCTCCCTGAGGGACCTGCCATCTCTCCTGTCCTCACCCCTGCTGGGATCTGCCACCATCCCTGTGCCTTCTCCTTTAGGGACCTGCCATCTCTCCTGTCCTCACCCCTGCTGGGATCTGCCACCATCCCTGTGCCTTCTCCTTTAGGGACCTGCCACCTCTCCTGTCCTCACCCCTGCTGGGATCTGCCACCATCCCTGTCCCCTCCCCCGAGGGACCTGCCACCTCTCCTGTCCTCACCCCTGCTGGGATCTGCCACCTCTCCTGTGCCCTCCCCTGAGGGACCTGCCACCTCCTTTGTCCCCTCCCCTTTAGGGACCTGCCACCCTCGCTGTCCCCTCCCCTTGGGGACTTGCACTGTCCCTGTCCTGTCCCCTGCTGGGAAATGCCACCTTTCCCTGTGCCCTTCTTTTAAGGACCTGTCCCCACCTCTGAGGGACCTCCCGCCGTCCCTGTCCCCTCCTCCACCTTTAGGGACCTGTCCCCTCCCCTTAAGGACCTGCCACCACCCCTGTCCTACCCCTCTTAGGGACCTGCCACCACCCTGTCCTGGGCTGCCACCTCTGTCCCCTCCCCTTAAGGACTTGTCACCACCTCTGTCCCCTCAGGGACCTGCCACCACCCCTGTCCTACCCCTGCTGGGACCTGCCACTGTCCCTGTCCTGTCCCCTGCAGGGACCTGCCACCACCCCTGTCCTGTCCCCTGCTGGGACCTGCCACTGTCCCTGTCCTGTCCCCTGCAGGGACCTGCCACTGTCCCTGTCCTGTCCCCTGCTGGGACCTGCCACTGTCCCTGTCCTGTCCCCTGCTGGGACCTGCCACTGTCCCTGTCCTGTCCCCTGCGGGGAGATGCCACCTTTCCCTGTCCCCTCCTCCACCTTTAGGGACCTGTCCCCTCCCCTTAGGGACCTGCCACCACCCCTGTCCCCTCCCCTTAAGGACCTGCCACCACCCCTGTCCCCTCTCCTTAAGGTCCTGCCACCATCCCTGTCCCCTCTCCTTAAGGACCTGCCACCATCCCTGTCCCCTCTCCTTAAGGACCTGCCACCACCCCTGTCCCCTTTCCCTGTCCCCATCCCTTGGGAAGCTGCCACCACCCCTGTCCCCTCTCCTTAAGGACCTGCCACCACCCCTGTCCCCTTTCCCTGTCCCCATCCCTTGGGAAGCTGCCACCACCCCTGTCCCCTCCCTGCAGGGACCTGCCACCATCAGTGTCACCCTGTCACCCTCCCTTCCCCCTCCCCCCCCCCCCCCCCCCCCCCCCCCCCCCCCTCCATCCCCCCTGCCCCGGTTCCTCCCATTACCATCCCAGTGGGATGGGTGTCCCCTGTCACCAGGGGAGGGTTTATCCCCCCTGGAACACCCCAAATTCCCCCCATATCCTGTTCTCCTCCATCCCTCCCAGTGGCATCCCAGTGGGATGGGTGTCCCCCGTCACTGGGGGGTGTCCCCTGTCTCTGGAAGAGGGTTTATCCCCCTTGGAACATCCCAAATTCCTGCTGGAGCAGCTCCAACCCCAATCCTCCCCATATCCCATTCCCCTCCATCCCTCTCAGTGACATCCCAGTGGGATGGGTGTCCCCTGTCACCAGGGGAGGGTTTATCCCCCTTGGAACATCCCAAATTCCCCCTGGAGCAGCCCCAACCCCGACCCTCCATCCCTCCATATCCCATTCCCCTCCATCCCTCCTTTCTTCCCTCCATCCCTCCTGTCCCAGTCCCCTCAGTGACATCCCAGTGGGATGGCTGTCCCCTGTCCCTGGGGGGTGTCCCCTGTCCCTGGGGGAGGGTTTCTCCTCCTCAGAACATCCCAAATTCCCACTGGAGCAGCTCCAACCCCCCCATATCCCATTCCCCTCCATCCCTCTCAGTGACTTCCCAGTGGGATGGGTGTCCCCTGTCCCTGGGAGAAGGTTTCTCCCCTCAGAACATCCCAAATTCCCCCCCTGTCCCTGGGGGAGGGTTTCTCCCGCTCGGAACACCCCAAATTCCACCCCTGTCCCTGGGGGAGGGTTTCTCCGCTCGGAACACCCCAAATTCCCCCCCTGTCCCTGGGAGAGGGTTTCTCCTGCTCAGAACATCCCAAATTCCCCCCCTGTCCCTGGGAGAGGGTTTCTCCTGCTCAGAACATCCCAAATTCCCCCCCTGTCCCTGGGGGAGGGTTTCTCCCCCTCAGAACATCCCAAATTCCCCCCCTGTCCCTGGGGGAGGGTTTCTCCCCCTCAGAACATCCCAAATTCCCCCCTGTCCCTGGGGAGGGGCTCAGAACATCCCCCAATTCCCCCCCTGTCCCTGGGGGAGGGTTTCTCCTCCTCAGAACATCCCAAATTCCCCCCCTGTCCCTGGGGGAGGGTTTCTCCCCTCAGAACATCCCAAATTCCCCCCCTGTCCCTGGGAGAAGGTTTCTCCTGCTCGGAACACCCCAAATTCCCCCCCTGTCCCTGGGAGAAGGTTTCTCCTGCTCGGAACATCCCAAATTCCCCCCCTGTCCCTGGGGGAGGGTTTCTCCCGCTCGGAACACCCCAAATTCCCCCCGGAGCAGCCCCAACCCTGCTCCCCCATCTCCCCTTCCCCTGCCCATCCTGACCCTCTCCCTCCCTGCAGTCCTGGCTCCGGAGGAGGACGAGCTGGTGGCCATGGAAGTGGCTTCCCCCCCTCCCATCCCGAAGAAAAGCTCGGCTCAGCTGGATCCGCCCCCGCCCCGGATCGGGACCAAACTGTCCCCGGAGCCTCCCGGGAGCAAACCGGAGCCTCAGGACGCCAAAGGTGGGTGTTTTCCCGGGATTCTCCTCCCATCCCACACCCTGGCACCGGGTTGGAGCCGGGCAGGGTCTGTTCGACCCCATCCAGGAGGATTTGGGTTAATTAATGTGTTAATTAAGAGGGTGGTTGTGTCCTGCTCCGGTGTCACAATTCCCAGTGCTGTTCCTTCCCAACAGTTTTCCAGGGTTCTCTGGGACTGACCTGCCCCCCCTAAACCCCTCCCTCAGCCCTTCCTTTCCTAATTAACGACTTTCCCTGGAAATCATCCCCTTGAGGTCCCGATCCCTCCCTGCTGGGCTTCCAGATCCCTCTGGAAAACATCCCAGGGCAGGGAAAACCGGCCTTTCCCAGCCCGGAGCAGCGATCCATGGCCTCCCACGGCCCTGCTCGCTCTTCCCAGCTCCTTCCTGCCCATGTGGGGGGGGTGGAGCATCCAGAATTAGGGATGGAGCCGATAAAAATCCCTGGGGATATTCCTGCCCCTCGGGGGTGCGCGGAGCATCCGGAATTAGGGATGGAATGGTGAATATCCCTCGGGATATTCCTGCCTCCTCAAGAGTGTTTGGAGCATCCCAATGCTCTCAATTAGGGTTGGGGGTGGTAGAAATCCCTTGGGATGTTCCAGAGTTCAGCATCCCATAAAATCCTTTGGGGTATTCCAGAGTTCAGCATCCCATAAAATCCCTCAGGATACCCCAGAGTTCATCATCCCATAAAATCCCTCAGGATACCCCAGAGTTCATCATCCCATAAAATCCTTTGGGATATTCCAGAGTTCATCATCCCATAAAATCCCTCAGGATATTCCAGAGTTCATCATCCCATAAAATCCTTTGGGGTATTCCAGAGTTCACCATCCCATAAAACCCCTCGGGATGTTCCAGAGTTCACCATCCCATAAAACCCCTCGGGATGTTCCAGAGTTCACCATCCCATAAAACCCCTTGGGATGTTCCCGAGTTCACCATCCCAATGCTCAAAACTCGGATTGTAGGAGCCCAAAATCCTGGGATTGGAGCACCAGCACATCCTCCCTCAGCCATTCCCTGATTTCCCTGTTTTCCTGCCGTTCCCAGCCCAGAGCCTGACCACGTGCGGGCAGGAATATCCCGAGTGCTCAAAACTCGGGTTGCATTGGCCCAAATCCCCCGGGATTGGATCACCAGCACATCCATTCCCTGACTCCCATTTTTTCCCTGTTTCCCTGCCATTCCCAGCCCAGAGCCTGACCACGTGCGAGGTGTTTGGGCAGGAATATCCCAAGTGCTCAAAAGTTGGGTTGTGGGTGGCCCAAATCCCCCAGGATTGGATCACCAGCACATCCATTCCCTGACTCCCATCTTTTCCCTGTTTTCCCTGCCGTTCCCAGCCCAGAGCCTGACCACGTGCGAGGTGTTCGGGCAGGAATATCCCGAGTGCTCAAAACTCGGGTTGCATTGGCCCAAATCCCCCAGGATTGGATCACCAGCACATCCATTCCCTGACTTCCATCTTTTCCCTGTTTTCCTGCCGTTCCCAGCCCAGAGCCTGACCACGTGCGAGGTGTGCGGGCAGGAATATCCTGAGTTTTCATCCTCAAAACTCGGGTTGTGAGCAGCCCAAATCCCCCGGGATTGGATCACCAGCACATCCTCCTTCAGCCATTCCCTGTTTCCCTGCCATTCCCAGCCCAGAGCCTGACCACGTGCGAGGTGTTTGGGCAGGAATATCCCAAGTGCTCAAAAGTTGGGTTGTGAGCAGCCCAAATCCCCCAGGATTGGATCACCAGCACATCCATTCCCTGACTTCCATCTTTTCCCTGTTTTCCCGCCGTTCCCAGCCCAGAGCCTGACCACGTGCGAGGTGTTCGGGCAGGAATATCCTGAGTTTTCATCCTCAAAACTCGGGTTGCATTGGCCCAAATCCCCCAGGATTGGATCACCAGCACATCCATTCCCTGACTCCCATCTTTTCCCTGTTTCCCTGCCGTTCCCAGCCCAGAGCCTGACCACGTGCGAGGTGTGCGAGCAGGAATATCCCGAGTGCTCAAAACTCGGGTTGTGAGCAGCCCAAAGCCCCCAGGATTGGATCACCAGCACATCCATTCCCTGACTCCCATTTTTTCCCTGTTTTCCTGCCGTTCCCAGCCCAGAGCCTGACCACGTGCGAGGTGTGCGGGCAGGAATATCCCGAGTTCATCCTCCTAATGCTCCACAGAAGGGTTTGGGGTTGCCAGAATCCCCCAGGATTGGATCACCAGCACATCCTCCCTCAACCATTCCCTGACTTCCATCTTTTCCCTGTTTTCCTGCCGTTCCCAGCCCAGAGCCTGACCACGTGCGAGGTGTGCGGCGCCTGCTTCGAGACGCGCAAGGGGCTGTCGAGCCACGCGCGCTCCCACCTGCGCCAGCTGGGCGTGGCCGAGTCGGAGAGCAGCGGGGCCCCCATCGACCTCCTCTACGAGCTCGTGCGCCACAAGGGCAAGGCCGACGGGGCCCCCTCCGCCCTCGTCCCGCCCCTGGCCAAGAAATCCTCCGCCTCTCCCAAGGACCCCGGGGCCGCCCCCCGGCCGGCGCTGCTGGCGCTGGCCAAGGCCGAGCGCCCGCCCGAGGGGGCCGTCAACAAAGCCATCAAATCCCCGCCGGGCTTCGCCAAGGCCCTGGCCCAGCCCGGCTCCCCCGTGCTGAAGAAGGTGCCGCCGGTGCTGGGGGGGTCCCCGTCTCCCAAGAATCCCGAGGAGAAGAGCTCCAAGCTGGCGCTGAGCCCGCTGCCGGGGTCGCCCACGGCCCAGTGGCCGCAGGACGAGGACGGGCCCCTCAACTTGAGTGAGTTCCGACGGTTTTCCTGGGATTTTCCCGCTTTTCCGAGGGTTGGGGGGGGGTGTCCCTGGCCTCTCCCCTCCTCTCCCTGCTTGGTTGTGACTGTCTCGGTCTTCCCTGCCGACGGGCATTCCCACTGGGATTTCGGGAAAGCCGCTGCCTCTCTGCCCTCCCGGCCCTTCCCGTCTCTTCCCTGGTTCTCCCGACTGCTCCGGGGGGGCTGGAGCGCCCTCGGGTGCCCCCGATCCCGATAAATCCAAATCCCGACACGGTGGGTTTGGCTGGCATCACGTTCCCACATTTCCCGCTCCTGGAAAGCCTCTGGGAATCAGCAGCTCCTGGGAATCACAGCCCTGGTGCTTCCACATCCTTCCCAGGAATCACAGTCCTGGTGCTTCCGTGTCCTTCCCAGGAATCACAGCCCTGGTGCTTCCACATCCCTCCCGGGAATCACAGTCCTGGTGCTTCCACGTCCCTCCTGGGAATCACAACCCTGGTGCTTCCATGTCCTTCCCGGGAATCACAGCCCTGGTGCTTCCACATCCCTCCCGGGAATCACAGCCCTGGTGCTTCCATGTCCTTCCCGGGAATCACAGCCCTGGTGCTTCCATGTCCTTCCCAGGAATCACAGTCCTGGTGCTTCCATGTCCTTCCTGGGAATCACAGCCCTGGTGCTTCCACGTCCCTCCCGGGAATCACAGCCCTGGTGCTTCCATGTCCTTCCCAGGAATCACAGCCCTGGTGCTTCCATGTCCTTCCTGGGAATCACAGTCCTGGTGCTTCCACATCCCTCCTGGGAATCACAGCCCTGGTGCTTCCATGTCCTTCCCGGGAATCACAGCCCTGGTGCTTCCATGTCCTTCCACATCCCTCCTCATGCCCAAGTTCCTTAGCAGTGACTTATTCCCGCACCTTGGCACCAAACTGGTTTTCCCGGCAGCATCCGGCTCTTCCCGCCTTTTCCCGGCAGCATCCGGCTCTTCCCGCCTTTTCCCGGAGCGCTGCACCTTCCCAGGAACGTTTCATCCGCAGCCCCGAGGGCTGTTGGGATTCTTTGGGCTCGTTAGTTCCTCATCCTCGTTTCCAGGCTTTCCCAGGGAGCCCATCCCACCGGTGGCAGCACCAGCAGGCTCTGCTCCCCTGGGAATCGCTGCTCCGCTGGGAATCTCGGCTCCAGTGGGAATCATTTCCTGCACTAACACGGAAAACAGCATCCAAATATTTGCTGTATCCGCCCATTCCCTCATTCCAGGGGCAGCTTTAAGGCCTGAATCCCTTCAAACCCCATGGCCGGGGGTTTCCCAGCGTTCCACCCCACTTCCAACCTTCGGGATCATCCTCATCCATCCCCTGGGCACCACAGGAAATCAGTTAAAACCCCAGAATTCCCAACAGCATTTCCTGGGATGCCCCTGGTCAGTTTATTTCCCTAAATTCCTTTCGCCATCGCTCCCAAACTCAATCCCACATTTGTCCCCAACCTCATCCCAGTTAATTCCACAACAACCAATTGTCTGGGGATGGGGGTGGGCAAGAGGCAACCGGAATTCCGGGCAGTTCTCCCTCTGGAATCCCACTCTCTCCACAGCCTTGAGGTCGGAGCCGGTGCGGGTTTTGTGGGGAATTCTTTGAGAAATCCCATTTGCCGTCGCTCCCAAACCCAATCCCACATTTATCCCAGTTAATTACACGATAGTTAATTGTCTTGGGGTCAGGGTGGGCAGGAGGCAGCCGGAATTCCGGGCAGTTCTCCCTCTGGAACGCCGCTCTCTCTCCGCAGCGTCGGGGTCGGAGCCGGCGCGCGACATCCGCTGCGAGAAATTCCATATCGCTCCCAAACCCAATCCCACATTTATCCCCAACCTCATCCCAGTTAATTACACAACAGCTAATTGTCTTGGGGTCAGGGTGGGCAGGAGGCAGCCGGAATTCCGGGCAGTTCTCCCTCTGGAACGCCGCTCTCTCTCCGCAGCGTCGGGGTCGGAGCCGGCGTGCGACATCCGCTGCGAGAAATTCCATATCGCTCCCAAACCCAATCCCACATTTATCCCAGTTAATTACACGATAGTTAATTGTCTCCGGGGAGGGGAGAGGGGATGGCAATATTTGTGCAGTCGGAATTCCGGGCAGTTCCCCCCCTGGAACGCCGCTCTCTCTCCGCAGCGTCGGGGTCGGAGCCGGCGCGCGACATCCGCTGCGAGAAATTCCATATCGCTCCCAAACCCAATCCCACATTTATCCCAGTTAATTACACGATAGTTAATTGTCTCCGGGGAGGGGAGAGGGGATGGCAATATTTGTGCAGTCGGAATTCCGGGCAGTTCCCCCCCTGGAACGCCGCTCTCTCTCCACAGCGTCGGGGTCGGAGCCGGCGCGCGACATCCGCTGCAAGAAATTCCATATCGCTCCCAAACCCAATCCCACATTTATCCCAGTTAATTACACGACAGTTAATTGTCTGGGGATCGGGGTGGGCAGGAGGCAGCCGGAATTCCGGGCAGTTCCCCCGCTGGAACGCCGCTCTCTCTCCGCAGCGTCGGGGTCGGAGCCGGCGCGCGACATCCGCTGTGAGAAATTTCATTCGCCATCGCTGGCGCTCCCAAACCCAATCCCACATTTATCCCAGTTAATTACACAATAGTTAATTGTCTCTGGGGAGGGGAGAGGGGATGGCAATATTTGTGCAGTCAGAATTCCGGGCAGTTCTCCCCCTGGAACGCTGCTCTCTCTCCGCAGCGTCGGGGTCAGAGCCGGCGCGCGACATCCGCTGCGAGAAATTCCATTCGCCATCGCTGGCGCTCCCAAACCCAATCCCACATTTATCCCCGACCTCATCCCAGTTAATTACACAATAGTTAATTGTCTCCGGGGAGGGGAGAGGGGATGGCAATATTTGTGCAGTTGGAATTCCGGGCAGTTCTCCCTCTGGAATCCCACTCTCTCCGCAGCGTCAGGGTCGGAGCCGGCGTGGCTTTTGTGTGGAATTCTTTGAGAAATCCCATTTGCCATCGCTCCCAAACCCAATCCCACATTTATCCCAGTTAATTACACAATAGTTAATTGTCTCCGGGGAGGGGAGAGGGGATGGCAATATTTGTGCAGTCGGAATTCCGGGCAGTTCTCCCTCTGGAACGGCGCTCACTCCGCAGAGTTGGGGTCGGAACCAGCGCGCGACATCCACTGCGAGAAATTCCATATCGCTCCCAAACCCAATCCCACATTTATCCCAGTTAATTACACGATAGTTAATTGACTTGGGGTCAGGGTGGGCAGGAGGCAGCCGGAATTCCGGGCAGTTCCCCCGCTGGAACGCCGCTCTCTCTCCGCAGCGTCGGGGTCGGAGCCGGCGCGCGACATCCGCTGTGAGAAATTTCATTCGCCATCGCTGGCGCTCCCAAACCCAATCCCACATTTATCCCAGTTAATTACACAATAGTTAATTGTCTCTGGGGAGGGGAGAGGGGATGGCAATATTTGTGCAGTCAGAATTCCGGGCAGTTCTCCCCCTGGAACGCTGCTCTCTCTCCGCAGCGTCGGGGTCGGAGCCGGCGCGCGACATCCGCTGCGAGAAATTCCATTCGCCATCGCTGGCGCTCCCAAACCCAATCCCACATTTATCCCCGACCTCATCCCAGTTAATTACACAATAGTTAATTGTCTCCGGGGAGGGGAGAGGGGATGGCAATATTTGTGCAGTTGGAATTCCGGGCAGTTCTCCCTCTGGAATCCCACTCTCTCCGCAGCGTCAGGGTCGGAGCCGGCGTGGCTTTTGTGTGGAATTCTTTGAGAAATCCCATTTGCCATCGCTCCCAAACCCAATCCCACATTTATCCCAGTTAATTACACAATAGTTAATTGTCTCCGGGGAGGGGAGAGGGGATGGAAAATATTTGTGCAGTCGGAATTCCGGCATTTTCTCCCTCTGGAACGGCGCTCACTCGCGAGTTGGGGTCGGAACAGCAGCGACATCCACTGCGAGAATTCCTATCGCTCCCAAACCCAATCCCACATTTATCCCAGTTAATTACACGATAGTTAATTGACTTGGGGTCAGGGTGGGCAGAGGCAGCCGGAATTCCGGGCAGTTCCCCCGCTGGAAACGCCGCTCTCCTCTCCGGCAGCGTCGGGGTCGGAGCCGGCGCGCGACATCCGCTGTGAGAAATTTCATTCGCCATCGCTGGCGCTCCCAAACCCAATCCCACATTTATCCCAGTTAATTACACAATAGTTAATTGTCTCTGGGGAGGGGAGAGGGGATGGCAATATTTGTGCAGTCAGAATTCCGGGCAGTTCTCCCCCTGGAACGCTGCTCTCTCTCCGCAGCGTCGGGGTCGGAGCCGGCGCGCGACATCCGCTGCGAGAAATTCCATTCGCCATCGCTGGCGCTCCCAAACCCAATCCCACATTTATCCCCGACCTCATCCCAGTTAATTACACAATAGTTAATTGTCTCCGGGGAGGGGAGAGGGGATGGCAATATTTGTGCAGTTGGAATTCCGGGCAGTTCTCCCTCTGGAATCCCACTCTCTCCGCAGCGTCAGGGTCGGAGCCGGCGTGGCTTTTGTGTGGAATTCTTTGAGAAATCCCATTTGCCATCGCTCCCAAACCCAATCCCACATTTATCCCAGTTAATTACACAATAGTTAATTGTCTCCGGGGAGGGGAGAGGGGATGGCAATATTTGTGCAGTCGGAATTCCGGGCAGTTCTCCCTCTGGAACGGCGCTCACTCCGCAGAGTTGGGGTCGGAACCAGCGCGCGACATCCACTGCGAGAAATTCCATATCGCTCCCAAACCCAATCCCACATTTATCCCAGTTAATTACACGATAGTTAATTGACTTGGGGTCAGGGTGGGCAGGAGGCAGCCGGAATTCCGGGCAGTTCCCCCCCTGGAACGCCGCTCTCTCTCCGCAGCGTCGGGGTCGGAGCCGGCTCGCGACATCCACTGCGAGAAATTCCATATCGCTCCCAAACCCAATCCCACATTTATCCCCAACCTCATCCCAGTTAATTACACAACAGCTAATTGTCTGGGGATCGGGGTGGGCAGGAGGCAGCCGGAATTCCGGGCAGTTCCCCCCCTGGAACTCTGCTCTCTCTCCGCAGCGTCGGGGTCGGAGCCGGCGCGCGACATCCGCTGCGAGTTCTGCGGGGAGTTCTTCGAGAACCGGAAAGGTCTGTCGAGCCACGCGCGCTCCCACCTGCGCCAGATGGGGGTCACCGAGTGGTACGTCAACGGCTCCCCCATCGACACCCTCCGAGAGATCCTCAAGCGCCGCCGCGGCGGGAATCCCGCCGGGAATCCCGCCGGGAACCCCGCCGGCCCCAAGGCCGTGGCCAAGAGCCTGCTGGGCACCCTGGGACCGCTGGAGCCGCGCGGGCCGGCAGAGCTGCACATTCCCGCCCTGGGGAAGAAGGTCCCGCCACCCGGCAGCCCCCCGGGGCCGTCTCCCACCTCGTCCCCGCCTCCCACCGCCCGGAAGATGTTTCCAGGCCTTTCTCCTCCCTCCTTGCAGAAGAAGCTCAAGCCAGAGCAGCTGAGGGTGGAGATCAAGCGGGAGCTGATGGCCGGAGGGATCCACGGGGAGCCGCATCCGTCGGATCGCGCCTGGTCCCCCCGGGAGGAGATGTCGCCCCTGAACCTCTGTGAGTCACCCCCCGCCCCGGGAAGGGGGATGTGCTGGATTTGGGGGCTCATCCCAGGGATTTGGGGGGGCTGAGGGCTCATCCCAGGGATTTAGGGGGGCTGAGGGCTCATCCCAGGGATTTGGGGGCACAGAGGGCTCATCCCAGGGATTTGGGGGGGGATCAGGGATTTGAGGGGGTCTGATCCCAGGGATTTGGAGGGATCATGAGGGCTCATCCCAGGGATTTGGGGGGGATGCTGAGGGCTCATCCCAGGGCTTTCGGGGGGCTGACGGGCTCATCCAGGGATTTAGGGTGGCGAGGGCTCATCCCAGGATTTGGGGGGAGCTGGAGGCTCATCCCAGGGAATTGGGGGGGAGCTGAGGGCTCATCCCAGGGATTTGGGGGATCTGAGGGCTCATCCCAGGGATTTGGGGATGAGGGCTCTCCAGGGATTTTGGGGGGAGCTGAGGGCTCATCCCAGGGATTTGGGGGGGGGCTGAGGGCTCATCCCAGGGATTTTGGTGGGCTGAGGGCTCATCCCAGGGATTTGGGGGGGTGAGGGCTCATCCCAGGGATTTGGGGGGGCTGAGGGCTCATCTCAAGGATTTGGGGAAGCTGAGGGCTCATCCCAGGGATTTGGGGGACCTCAGGGCTCATCCCAGGGATTTGGGGGGGAGCTGAGGGCTCATCCCAGGGATTTGGGGGGGCTGAGGGTTCATCCAGTGTTTCAGGAGGGGGCTGAGGGCTCATCCCAGGGATTTGGGGGGGCTGGGGGCTCATCCCAGGGATTTGGGGGGGATCTGAGGGCTCATCCCAGGGATTTGGATGCACAGAGGGCTCATCCTGCTGTTTTGGGGGGCTCATCCCAGGACTTTAGGGGGGCTTTGGGCTTATCCCAGGGTTTTGGGGGGCTCATCCCAGCACTTCTGGGGGCTCATCCCAGGACTTTGAGGGGCTCATCCAGTGTCGGGGGGGGCTGAGGGCTCATCCCTCGGACTTGGGGGGCTCATCCCAGCACTTCTGGGGGCTCATCCCTTATCCCAGGCTTTGGGGGGCTGAGGGCTCATCCCAGGACTTTGGGGGACTCATCCCAGAACTCTGAGGGGCTCATCCCAGAACTCTGAGGAGCTCATCCCAGAACTCTGAGGGGCTCATCCCAGAACTCATCCCAGAACTCTGAGGAGCTCATCCCAGAACTCTGAGGAGCTCATCCCGGTGTTTTGGAGGGACCGAGGGATCATCCTGGCATTTTGGGGGAGCTTTGTGGAGCTGAGGGGGCTTTGGGGAGCTCATCCCAGGACTTTGGGGGACTCATCCCAATGTTTTGTGGGGCCAAGGGCTCATCCCAGTGTTTGGGGGGGCTCATCCTGGGACTCTGGGGGGGCCAAGGGCTCATCCCAGTGTTTGGGGGGGCTCATCCTGGGACTCTGGGGGGGCCAAGAGCTCATCCCAGTGTTTGGGGGGGCTCATCCTGGGACTCTGGGGGGGCCAAGAGCTCATCCCAGTGTTTGGGGGGGCTCATCCTGGGACTCTGGGGGGGCCGAGGGCTCATCCCGGGGCTTTGAGGGGCCGAGGGCTCATCCCTTGTTTTTTTGGGGGGGAGGGAGAGGGCTCATTCCTGGGATCTGGGGAGGCTGAGGGGCCCATCCTGGTGTTTCAGGGGGCTGAGGGCTCATCCCTGGGATTTAGGGAGCTCATCCCGGCACTTTAGGGGGCTCATCCCTGGGATTTGGGGGGCTCATCCCTGGGATTTGGGGGGCTCATCCTGGGACTTTAGCAGGCTCATCCCAGGCTTTGGGGGACTGAGGCTCATCCTGGGACTTTAGGGGGCTCATCCCAGAACTTTAGGGGGCTCATCCCGGGACTTTAGGGGGCTCATCCCGGGACTTTAGGGGGCTCATCCTGGGCTTTGTGGGGCTGAGGCTCATCCTGGTGTTTGGAGGGGCTCAGAGCCCATCCCAGCGCTCCAGCCGAGCCCTCCCATCCCTGCATCTCTCGGGGGATCCCCGGATCATTCCGGGGGGTGGGATCCATCCCCTCCCTCCCCGGCTGATCCCGGCATTCCTCGGATCGTTCCGTGGGGTGGGATCCATCCCCTCCCTCCCCGGCTGATCCCGGCATTCCTCGGATCATTCCGAGGGGTGGGATCCCTCCCCTCCCTCCCCGGCTGATCCCGGCATTCCTCGGATCATTCCGAGGGGTGGGATCCCTCCCCGGCTGATCCCGACATTCCTCGGATCATTCCGGGGGTTGGGATCCATCCCATCCCCTCCCTCCCCGGCTGATCCCAGCATTCCTTGGATCGTTCCGGGGGTTGGGATCCATCCCCTCCCTCCCCGGCTGATCTTTCCGTGGGCTGGGATCCATCCCCTCCCTCCCCGGCTGATCCCGGCATTCCTCGGATCGTTCCGGGGGTTGGGATCCATCCCATCCCCTCCCTCCCCGGCTGATCCCAGCATTCCTTGGATCGTTCCGGGGGTTGGGATCCATCCCCTCCCTCCCCGGCTGATCTTTCCGTGGGCTGGGATCCATCCCCTCCCTCCCCGGCTGATCCCGGCATTCCTCGGATCGTTCCGGGGGTTGGGATCCATCCCATCCCCTCCCTCCCCGGCTGATCTTTCCGTGGGGTGGGATCCATCCCCTCCCTCCCCGGCTGATCTTTCCGTGGGGTGGGATCCATCCCCTCCCTCCCCGGCTGATCTTTCCGTGGGGTGGGATCCATCCCCTCTTTCCGTGGACTGGGATCCCTCCCCTCCCTCCCCGGCTGATCCCGGCGTTCCCGCAGCCTCCCGGGCCGACCCGGTGCGCGACATCCGCTGCGAGTTCTGCGGGGAGTTCTTCGAGAACCGGAAAGGTCTGTCGAGCCACGCGCGCTCCCACCTGCGCCAGATGGGGGTCACCGAGTGGTCCGTCAACGGCTCCCCCATCGACACCCTCCGGGAGATCCTCAGGAAGAAATCCAAGCCCTGCCTCATCAAGAAGGAGCCGCTGGCGCCCGGCCTGGAGCCCCCCAAGGGGCTGGGGGAGGACGGGATGGATCCCAAGCCCCCGGCGCCGGCCGGGAAGGTGCTGCCGGGGCTGTCCCTGTCCCCGCTGGGCGGGAGGCCGGGCAAGCCGGGGGGGGCCCTGGCGCTGACCCCCCTGGGATCCAAAGCTCCCGGGGCCTTCCTGGCTCCCAAGCGGCCGCTTCCCGACGACCGGCTGGGCCCCCACGGGGAATCCAAGCACAAGGCCTTCGGCCCCCCCGATCTGCCCTTCAAGGCCAAGGCTCTGCACGACAAGGCCTGTGAGTGAGGGGGGATTCCCGGGGGGGGGTTCCCGGGGGGATTCCCGAGGGGATCCCTGGGATGGGATGGGCGGGATGGGAAGCGCGGAGAGGGAAGGGGAGGTTTGGGATCGGGGCGGCCCCTGGGCCGCGTGAGCCACTCGAGTGGGGGGTTCCCTCCGTCAGCAGGTCCCCAGCTGATAGATCGCTCCCCCGGGAGTGATCCAGAGGTGGAATAATTGGGAATTTGGATCCCGTGGAGGATTTTAAATGCCATCCCTGATTCCCGTTATCCCGCAGCCTCCGAGGCTCTGGGGATTCCTGTTCCCCCATTCCCCCTGGTGTCCCTGTCCCTCTGCGTGTCCCTGTGTCCCCCTGGCTATTCCATATCCCCCCTAATTCCCATTATCCCACAGCCTCCGAGGCGTCCTGCGAGCCTGTCCCGTATCCCATCTCCCATCTCCCATGTAATTCCGTGTTTTCCAGCCTCGGAGGCGTGCTGCGAGCTGTGCGGGCTGTACTTCGAGAACCGCAAGGCCCTGGCTCTGCCATGTCCCATATCCCATCTCCCATATCCCATGTAATTCCTGTTTTCCATCCCACAGCCTCGGAGGCGTGCTGCGAGCTGTGCGGGCTGTACTTTATCCCATATCCCACATAATTCCCATTATCCCATGTAATTCCATGTTTTCCAGCCTCGGAGGCGTGCTGCGAGCTGTGCGGGCTGTACTTCGAGAACCGCAAGGCCCTGGCTGTGCCCTATCCCATATCCCATATCCCATATCCCATATAATTCCTGTTTTCCAGCCTCGGAGGCGTGCTGCGAGCTGTGCGGGCTGTACTTTGAGAACCGCAAGGCCCTGGCTCTGCCATGTCCCATATCCCATATCCCATATCCCATATAATTCCTGTTTTCCATCCCACAGCCTCGGAGGCGTGCTGTGAGCTGTGCGGGCTGTACTTTATCCCATTATCCCATGTAATTCCATGTTTTCCAGCCTCGGAGGCGTGCTGGGAGCTGTGCAGGCTGTACTTTATCCCATTATCCCATGTAATTCCATGTTTTCCAGCCTCGGAGGCGTGCTGCGAGCTGTGCGGGCTGTACTTCGAGAACCGCAAGGCCCTGGCTGTGCCCTATCCCATATCCCATATCCCATATCCCATATAATTCCTGTTTTCCAGCCTCGGAGGCGTGCTGCGAGCTGTGCGGGCTGTACTTCGAGAACCGCAAGGCCCTGGCCAGCCACGCCCGCGCCCACCTGCGCCAGTTCGGGGTCACCGAGTGGTGCGTGAACGGCTCCCCCATCGAGACCCTGCGCGAGTGGATCCGGCACCGCCCGCACAAGGCTGGCGCCTACCGCAGCTACATCCAGGGGGGGAGGCCCTTCTCCAAGAAATTCCGCAACTCCGGCCACGCCCGGGAGCACCGGGGCGGCCCCCTGGCCCTGCAGCCCCCCGGGGTGGCCTTCCTGGGCAAGGGGCTCCCCGGGGAGCTGCCCCACGGCGACCCCGGGAAGGTGCTGGACGGGCCGGGGGAGAGGCCCCTGGTGACGTCCCCGCTGTCCCTGGTCAAGCTGGAGGAGCACCAGCGCTCCAACATCAGCAGTGAGTGCGGGACGGGGCGGGGATTGGGGAGGGGTGGGTGGATCCCTGCGGGAAGGGCGCTGGGGGCTGGGAGAATCCCTGCAGGAGAGGGAACGG